TCTCGCCCTGGCTGGTGTAGCTCAGTGGATTGAGTGTGGGCTTGTGAACCAAAGGGTCAAGGTTCGATTCCCAGTCAGGGCACATGCCTGGGTTGCAGGCCAGGTCCCCAGCAGGGGGCATGTGAGAAGCAACCATACATTGATGTTTCTCTCCCTCTCCTTCCCTTCCCCTCTCTCTAAAACTAAATAAATAAACTTAAAAAAAAAAGAAATTCAATCTCATAACATTTTCTGAAATCTGGGAAGGTAAACTTTTCATCTCCCATGTTTAGTTCCAGTTGTATGCCCACTTCACAGAACTAACAAACCCTTGCCAAGTAGTAAAGAAGACTGATTGAGCACTCGTTATGTGCGAAACGTTTTTGCATGAAAATGTATATACCCTGGAAGTGCCTGCTTTTTATTTTTATATGTAGTCATGTTTTTCTCCTGTTTTCATCACTATATTAGTGTTAACTATTCTAGAATGTAAGTCTCAAGAAAACATAACTGTGTCTGTTCAGCTTATATAATGTATCTTACGCAAAGCCGAGCACAATGATTGCTTCATATTGTAGCATTGGTTCGTAAAATGCAAAACCAGTCTTAGCTGAGGATCCTGTCTCTTAAACTTGTTTAATAAGATACCATTAGGTGCCTTCTATTCGAAGGAAAATACAGTAACAAAAGCACATTGTTAAGATGTGTAAATTGTTCTTCCAGGGAAGGAGGTTTGTGTATATAATTGAGTTTAGTTGTTTTTGTTTATAGAGCTCCTGTAATTTCCCTGTGCCAGATTCTGAGTCAAAGGAAAAATATCAGAGTGCTTAGGCAACAGCTGTTCTCAGTCCTTCGGGGTGGTAATTCGGAGCCCAGGGCTGTGCTTATTCTTACCGTGAAATGACTCTTTGACGATAAAACTCTGCATTCTCCCCCAGTGCTGTTCCAGTGACTGTCCTTGTAGAAGCGAGTGTTAGTCATCAAGGGTGCCTAACAGGTATCTCGAAAGAGAAAATAACTCATTATGACCTTATGTGTGTTCATGAACTCATCTCTCAAGTATTCCTATGGTCTGACCTTGTATTACTGAGCACACTTCCAAACCTTGATGCAGAGTTCCTTCTTTGTAAAAGAAAAGCAAGACTCAAGGTGGGCTTTGTATTTTGTTGAGTATCAGTGATGCTGGTCATTGAGTCAACTCTGCGATATTTAACGAACCGTAAATGTTGTGGCTGTGTGTTACACAATTTCCTGCTCTTTGTGGCCATCCTTCTAATTTTTCTATCATTTGGAAGCAGTGGGTTAATAAGAAGTAAAAACGAATAATATCCAGAAATGTAATTTGTAAAACAACAGTGATGAGGACTCATTTTACCTGATTTGGAAACATATTTAAAAGTGACAGTGACCAAAACTGTATAATATTTTGTTAAAGAAAAAGTGGTCAATTGATGTGGAATAATCGAGATTCGAGAAGTTAAAAGCTATTTCAGGATGTGACAGAGTTGACAGCACAGAATAACAAGGAAAAGTCACATTTGTCAGGTCTTTATTTTGGTATAGAGAGGAATCCGTACTCTGCATACAAATGCAGAACATACGGCAATGGAAAGAGAAACAGAATGTAGGGAAAATAACCTAAACCACTGTACTGAAATTACTTAAAATGGGTACAAATATGTTAGATGAATATATTCATTCCATTTGATGTTCTTGCAAGGCAAATGAATGCTTGAGGAAATATGAAGTCACTTTATAGGGAAATGTGCTGCCTCTTAGCATTAAATTAAAAAGTCACTACATTCGTACTGATACATGTGATAAAATCAGATTTTTTTCCCTCGTGGAGAAACCAAAAGGTGGTAGATAAGGTAATTGTTCCAGTTGTGGGGAGTAATCTGTCAGTAGCTTTGAGTCATAATGTTGTTGTCATGGATGGTGATGGTGGCAGTGATGATAATGGCATGTGCCCGGCACTGTGCTGAGGACCTGGGGGGACATGTAGAGGAAAGCTTGCCACCCTGGCCACAGGCATGTATCTGTGAGCAGCCCTGTCACTGAGCATGTCACACAGAGCCCCGCGGTCTCCAGCCCACCTTTTTCAGATTCATCGCTTCACATTACCTCCAAAAGCCATTTCCCTACAGGCTATATGCTATTTTTAAACATTAAAAGTTTTCTTCTATATTTATTTTTTACTCAGTTTTTGTGAATGTTCCTCCTACCCCCACCGTGCCCTGGATGTCTTTTCTTCTCCTGGCAGGCGGGTTCTTATGCATCTTTTGGAATTTTGTTCAAATCGCATCTTTCAGTGACCCTTAGTCCCTGTGACCGCTTAGACACACAACTCTGAGGCTGGCAGCGTCCCCAGCTTTCCTGGAGCCTGACGCTTCCTTGAGCAAGAGGCCACGTCCTAACCATCTTTACATGAAGAGTGGGACTTAACCTGTGTGTGGCATGAGTGACTGAAAAACACAAAGGAAAATCCCAGTGTTCATATTATTTTCTTGCTCCTCCATGAATTCTGTCAAAGTGAACCTTGTCACATTGACTCCGTATAAACTTACTCAATGGTGACCAAACTGTCCAACTCTCTGCAATCCTACGGAGTGGGATAAGCAGTCAATACTGGGTCGTTTCATTTTGCAACAGGGTTTTGTTGGGGTGTGCACTTGTCTCATTGCGTATTTACTGTAAAATGAGACTTGCTGGGTCACTGTCTGGCTGTTCTTAGTATTTGTAAAGATGCTCAAGGAGGTACATTTGTCAGCACTTTTAGGCTGGGCTCTTATTAATGAACTCTTCTATATTATTTAATATTCCTAACAGAAAATATGTCTGTGGACCTGTTTTATTCTCAGGAAGTCAGGTTTATGGTTTTTTTAAAGCTTTTGGGACCCAGAGCTGAAAAATTTCCCCTTGTACAAATAATTCATCAATATAAAAATACTCATGCAAAAATTAGTGTTTCAAGACACAGAATCAATTCAGATTAAAGACTGTGTGTGGCACCTGTATTAGAAAGAGGGAGGTTCTTCTGCAGATGGTGGAGACCACACTTGACAAGACAGAAACGTCTTCCCCATGTAGCTTTCTGGGTGTGGGACACCCGGGTCAAGAACGATGGCCCTGTTCGACGTGGCTGTTTGAGGTTTGGCGTGCTGTCACCTGGTGTTAGGGATTGCGGTACCCGGTCATTGCTTTGTGTTTAAAATTCAGAATTTCTTTAAGAGTAATACAAATTAATTTTATTTATTGACTATTATGGCGTAACTCTCACCAGCACTTGTGCTTGACAAGAAGTCATGGTTATAGTATGTTATAGGTTTGGCACGACAGAAGTCCTGACACTAAGTATTTGCTTAATTAATTGGAAGTTCATATGTTTTGGGGTTTACAATTACTTGCCAGATGCTTGTGATGTGACCTGTGGAGCTCACTGTCCACCGTGTATGGGAAGCATTCCTGCCGGTGGAGGGAGGAGCCAATAAAGTTTGCCCCAAGCCCTGAGGATGAAGAGTTCATTTTCATTTAAGCTTGTGAAGGAGAGTTTCCTTGAAGTAATGCCGTGGGCTTGCCCTTGAAGGATGAGTAGGGTTTCAGTTGGGGAGAAGGTGGGAGTGGAAAGAGCCTGCTTGCTATGCGCATGTGTGATTTCCCCAATGGTTGTGACACCTGCTGTGCGTTAGGAAGGAAGCCTGGAGGAAGGATATTTGTGAGCAAGGGAGGGGGAGAAGGGTGTGAATGTTGCATTTATCCTGCCCCGCCCCCCCATAGGAGAACAAAGGAGAGTTTTGTATAGGATATTACTCGGACAGAACTTCACTGATTTGCCCTGGATGGTTGCCGGTTGGTTGGAGTGTTGCCCATGAACCTGGAGGTCACAGAGGTGATTCCCGGGCAGGGCACATTGGTGCTGCTCTCTCACATTGATATTTCTCTCTCTCTCCACCTCCTTTCCCCTCCCTCTAGAATCAATAAACATGACCTTGGGTGATGATTTTAAAAATCTATTGATTTGTTAATTTACATTATTCAAAATGATTCTGTGAACTATACTAATCTTTAATGTGTACACATAATACTAACGTGTAACGCCTAGTACACGTGGTTTGTGTGTGGATGAGATCATCTTTGTATTTTGAATTAAGGCACAATAATGATAATGTTTGTAAATGTGTGACTTTTACACACATTTTACCTGATCTTAGCCAAAAGGCTGAGAAGCAGTGGGATGTAAATGGGTGTCTTTTAAAGGGGGACATAAACTCTCAGTTGCCACAAAGGTTCTGGTTCTACGTGCTCCTGAAGTGAAAAGGTTGTGCTATCCCATTTTACTGTAATGTTCTGCTGATACATCATTTAAGGAAAGTTCCAATTCCTGATGAAGAGCAGAGAGCTGACATGATTTTTCACTTAGGTGTGCAGAAAGAATTGGTTAGCTTTGTCCACAAAATAAGCTGAAGCCGAGCTTTAATTAGTCAGACTTTTGCACAGTTCATCATGGTCACTTTGTAAGTCCAGCTGAATATACTCTTGATTTCCATCACGATGTGTTCATTTTAAAGGACTCTCTATGAGTTTCTTGCTGCACAGATATTCAGGTCTTCCAAGTTCAACTGTGACAATGCACCAGACTTCTTTTAAAGAAGAGTGAGCCCTGGCTGGTGTGGCTCAGTGGAATGAGCGCCGGCTTGTGAACCAAAGGGTCGCCAGTTTGATTCCCAGTCAGGGCACATGCCTGGGTTGCAGGCCAGGTCCCCAGTAGGGGCGTGTGAGAGACAACCACACACTGATGTTCCTCTCCCTCCCTTTCTCCCTCCTTTCCCCTCTGTCTAAAAGTAAATGTATAAAGTCTTTAATAAAAACAAACAGAAGAATGAATTGTTGCATAAGGGTCAGTAAAGAAGTAAATCAATCCATAAAAAAGTTCTTACTACATATTATTCTTGATATTGATACATCAGCTTTGAAGACAGGAAAGTAAGCTAAGGACTTGTTCTGTCTTTTTGGATCCCTAGGCTGTCCATCTGGCCCAGGCAAGCTTCCAGATTGAAGCTTTTGGCTCCAGATTTATTCTTGACCTCACACTGAACAAGTAAGTATTTAGTCATAATCCCGTTAAGCACGTGTAATAAAACTTCACTTCATGAAAAGGATTTAGTCAAAATAATGTCTGTTGTTGAGGTTGATTTTGTGCTGTATAGCACCTAAAGAAGAACATGCAAGTCTGAAGTTAACTGTTTTTTTCCTTTTCTGGAAAGAAAAAACAAATATTTAGCTTGTGAAATATCTCAAATACAGTACTTAGATATTATGATTTAAGTGAAATAAATGTTTTAAGTAATATTTATAGTTACTTAAATGTTAACTATAAAATCATTACTATCTTGTATATAGGAGGCAGGATCAATTACCAGCTCCAGTATGATGAGACTTCAGTCTCAGAATTTCTTCCTTTTTACCTTGCTTTAGGTGGTTCTCACACTGTGTCGCAATTCTAAATGAAGAAAGAAAATGATGGCCTGTAAATATTTTGAAAAGGTTCCTTGCTGTGCTGTCATACAGGTCTTTTAGAAATTTTGGCCCTGATATAAGTCTACCTGATTTTTCTCGGAGCGTGTGTTTATGCGGATATTCAAATGCAGTTTTCTAAGTTGGAACCCATTGTGCAGATGTCTCTGCACAAAGCGTGGGTGAGAGCTGCTGATGAAAGCCGCGCTCACCAACCTCTAACGGAGTTAGCAGGGAGCTTTATTTGGTGAAAGGGTTTCCTGTGTGGTTTTCTTTAGTTCAAGGGGCTCCTGTCAGCATTTTAAACTCTCATCAGCATTTTGACCAGGACTTCATCTTTGCCAGAAAAGTACCAGGTAATGCCATCAGACACCATAATGTAGATGGACTACAATCAATAATCTGAGAAATCGCGAAGGATTCTAAAGAAGAACTATTAAATTTCCTGTATGCCAAATTCTGTGAACTCTGCAGGAAAAAAATGCAGAGTCAGCTTGGGTGCTCCTTACTCAAGTGTTACTGCAGCTTCAAGTCGGCATGAATCAGCAGAACTCAGAACTTCCTTTGTCAGAGGTGCTGCAGGTTTTTCTCCCCGAGTCTGCTGAGCGTTGGTTGAATTCCTTTGCGCCAGGCTGTGTCAGCACTGTGCCCATCTAAGAGATTTGTCTTGCCAAATCTTAGACTATGTTGAGAAGTTAGCTATGGCTAAATTGAGTGTTTAGGTCCTCTGTTCCTTTAACTCTTACTGCAGTAGAGACTGTCATTCCAGACTGTAGTGTGACAGCAATCAACATGGCTATGTGTTGGTTGAGGCTGATGGCCACAGCAGAGCCTCCCAACCAAATGACCCTGAAAAAGGGTCATGTGGGGTGTCCAGGGTAGTCAGAGGTCTGAAAACACATCAGAAAGTTATTCACCGCTGATATTCAATGCGAAAAGGAATCAACTTAAGCACCTGCTGTGAGCAGTCTTTGCCTTTAGGAGCTTATAGTTTAGTCAGGAGAGGCCAGATCAGATCAATATGTAGTTTTTAATGAGTGAAATTTGTTGTGTTAGAGATAAACATGCACCAAATAGAGGCAGCTCTCCAGGCTGGACGAGTATGAAAAGGCATCTTGGAAAGGTGATGCTTGAGCTCAGTCTTAGAGGACAAGTGTCAGTGAGGAAGGGAAGTCTTGGGACTGGGTGAGGGGGGAGCAGAGAAAGAGAGGGAGTGAGGATGGATGAATATGGAGAATTATGTTCTCGAGGAGATAGTGTGTGCCAAGGAGACAGGGCCAGGCAGCAGTGTGGCTGCTAAGGGAGCATGTGACTTTTGCTGAACATCATGGTAAATTACAGGGTTGAGGCAGAGGGAGATGAGTCAGGAGAGGTAGGCCCAGAGACAGCTTGAGTCATGGAAGATCTTGTATGTCATGCTCAAGTGCTTGCCTATTATTTCCTAGACCGTGAAAAGTGAAGTAAGGGGAATAAACAGAAGTTCAATTCTCAGGAAGTGTAGAGAGGCACAGAGAGGGCATGCTTTCAAGACATCTTCAGGTGATAAAAATCATCAAGATTACCTGGATGTGGATGACGAGGCAGAAGGAAGAGTTCAAGTTTTAGAGGCTTTGGTTGGATAGCTGGGTGGAAGGTGGGATCCAGCTGAAATGGGTAGCATAGGGCACAGACAGGTTAAATGGTGAAAAGAAAAGAATGTGAAATCAGGACATAATTGATTTGAGGGGTTTGGGGACACCCGTGTCTAGGAGGTGGCTGGCTATAACAGTCTGGAACTCAAGAAGACCTGGAGCTGGAGAGAACAGCTGAGAGTCATTTCCATGTAAGTGTTAATGGCAAACATGGATGCGAGAGAGTGTCCAGGGAGGGTGGGTAGGATAAGGAGAACATAAGCTGGGAAGATAGTTATGAACTGAGGAGAGGAAGAGGAGCCCACGAAGGGACAGAGGATGAGTGGGATCTACAGCATCACCTGCAGTAGAATAATCCAGGGAGACAAGGAGTGAAGACTTCCCTTTGGTTTTGCCAATTGAGCAACCACTGCTGGTCTGAAGGCAGCAGCTTCAGTGACGCTCTGGGGGCAGAAGCCAGGTGACAGTGGGCTGGGAGTGAATGAGAGAAGGTGAGGTGCAGGCAGCAAGTGCTGATCGGGGAGGTTGGAGAGGAAGAGAGAGCCAGAGCAGTGGCTAGAAGAAGGACCTGGGGTTGAGGGAGGGGTCTTTTACGGATGTAATGGCACAAGACGATGGGCTGAGAGATGGAGCTGAAAAGAGTGAGAGGTGAAGGTACAGAGAGAGAGGAGATCATTGAGGGAGCAAGGTGTGGATGAAGACAGAAGGGAGTGAGATCAGGCAGAATTTATTGATAGTTTTGAGCCAGAAGAGACAGGTCATTCTCAGCTTGTGAGAAGCTATTATTGCGTGTGCAGGTAAAGATTGCTTTGCAGGTGAAGGGATGGAGTTCAGGAAATGCATCTCAGAAGATTTCCTTCTGCTTGGAAATGGCATTATCTGCCATAGGGATTGGGATGGAGAGGGAGGGTGTGTTGGGGCTTGAGGGAAGTCATGAAAGTCTAGGTTAATTGCTGAGAGGAATGGGTGGGGAAGCTCGCCAGGGTCATGCTAAATTTATGAGCAGCCTTCATTAGGAGTCACGTGGTATGCATTAGTCTGGCATCATTATTCCCAATGGAGGATTTTTAAAATGTATTTATTATTATTTATTACTGCGGTGTATGAGGGAAGGGGGGAAATTATAGTATAGATCAGGGTTCAGTGGAAAACAGTGGAAGCAGACCTCTCTGAATCCTGGTGAATAACTTGGGTAGATAAGCACCAGGATGCAGTCTGGGTAAGAAAGGAAATGGTCAAGAGGAGGCTGATGGGCTGGGAGAAAGTGGAGGTTTGCAGGGGAGAGTGCATGCAATGGGAGGGAGGCCGTGGGAGCTCTAATCGTGCGGTGTCTCCCCGAACCATCTGCAGACGACGTGAGTGTGCGGTGATGGCCTGGAGCCAGGGGAATTATACTTTGTAAGCATACGTGACATGAGTTGGCCAGCGTGGGTCTCTAGTTTAAATAACTCTCAATGGCTGGGATTAACAGAAAAGTCTGATCCACGTTAGAATAAACTTAATGAGTCAAGAGAATTTCTAAATCAGTCGCAGAGGAACCGAAAGGGCTTCTGAGGAAAGAGAAACCTCATTCCCATTATAGGGTGGTCATTGCCACACTATTTACAACAATTTAAAATTGTTAGAGGAGGGAAAAGGCAAAAGGTATATAATAGGTATATGGGCTCAGTGGAGGAGTGAAAGCATCAAGATGTTAACATAAACTAATTGAAGGGGTGGCCGTAGAATCTAGATGGTTAATGACCCTACCAGGCCTGGGCTGCCAGCTTGTGAAGATGACTCTGATGCGAGTTCCCTCGAGAAGAGCCTTTTGGAATCTGTGCTGTCCTAGATCGAACAAGTGAGCCCTTGGCTCGCTGAAGCATCTCATGGCAGAGGTTGTGTTTCATTTATTTGTTCAGCAAATGTCGAGCGAACATCTGCTATATGCCAATGACTGTTGATGCTGCTGGGAATACGATAGGCAGGTCTCTGCCTCCCCAATGGAGCTTCATTCCCGGGGAGGAGGCAGACGGTGAGCCACTAAATAAAGACGAGTGCATTGAAGGACACATAACTCAGCTGTGTGATGGAGGGGGACTGCAGGTGGGGGTGGCCAGTGTTGTTGAGATGTCACAGAAGCCAGAAGGTCTGTCTGTGGAGGGACGTTGAGCTGAGACATGATTTTCAAAGATGAGCCACCCCAGGAGGCTGGGAGGCTGAGGATATATCACAGCTAGGGCAGTAAGACAGCTGGTGTTGAGGAGAGCCTGGAATGTTCAAGAAGGACAGAGGCAGGTGTGACTGCAGTGCAGTGGGGAGCTGGGGGTGGCGGGAGACTGAGGAGGCGAGATCGGAGAGGAACAGCGCAGCCGGAGCGTTGCCCACAGCGAGGCGTTGGGGTGGGGAGACACGGGAGGGCAGGGAGCACAGGCGCTCACCAGCAGATTTACATTTAATTTGGCTCAGAACATCCTAATTGTGGCCGCAGAGGACCTTTACTCATATTCCTTTCAGGGTACCCTCCTTTTACATTTTGTTTTGTTTTTCCTCTAGAACAACCATTGTTCCAAGTTACAGAAGGTTAAAAAGGATTAGTAGATTAATAATTCTTAATGTGTATTGATCCTTTGAAGTGCCTGGTGGGTGGGGGGTGGGGCTCTGAGGATTTTCTTCCCCACGTGTGTGATTGGAATTATGCCAAAGCCTGTAATTAAATTTGTTTGTGTGTCTCAGCAGATGTTTATTGGGAATAACCGTGATCAGAGCTATGTAATAGTTGAAAGCTCAGGTTCTGGAGTCAGACCTAAGTTTGAACCTGGGGCTGCCATTTACTAATTGTGTGAACTTGGGCAGTTTCTCAACTTCTTTCTTAATAACAGCATGAGATATAATTCACATGCCCTAAAATTCCTATCGTCTACGCATTATGTGTGGGTATAATGATTACATACCATGAGGTATAATAATCATG